CAAGCCTCAAGGATGGCATAAAACCCACGAGAAGACCACTACCCTTCTTACCATGACACAAGCTACAACTATCACAGCCCATAAAGGAGTGTTCAAGATTTGCAGCTTAGTGAAACACAAGCATATCCAATATATTTTATTACTTCAGGTGCACCTAAATCGCCCGATTCCCAGCTGCAGAGCAGTGAACTGTCCAACAGTGAAATAAGTAAACGCCTGCCAATAATTCAGATCTCAGCTCTATCACACTGCTCTCAGCATGCACTAAGCCAAACCACGGGGAGGCTACGTGGATCGATGGGGACATACCGCAGAAGACCCCTCAGATTTCCAGGGATGAGCAGGTCACCCCTTTTCCAAAGGAGAATTCCCATCAGCAGAAGGGAACCGTGCTGAGCCTGGGTAGTGCTGCAAGCTCCAATGAAACACACAGTAACTTTTCCATGAGTAATGCTTCTTCTTACTGTAAAAGCTTACTGGAATTACCCTCTTTTAAATAAGCCCTTCAGAGCAGTAACCAGGGAACAGCAGCAACGGGTAGGGCTCTTTGGTAGCACCTGCCCCGTGGCTTTAGCTGCTCTTGCCAGCTCAGAAACACACACCTGGAAGTCTGTATCAGTGAGTGCCTAAGTCAATGCAACCCTCCCACTCCGTGAAATTTCTTTCTTCTAAAAAAGTTGTGCGATTTAGGGATGTGTTTTCACTACTAGAAAGACAGTGTTGAAAGAGGCTGCATCACTGGAAGTATGGACAAGTCACTCAGGAAATTACTAAAGAAATGAAAAATCAGTTTGGCATGGGACACTCCAAAGTCCTGAAGCCAGCAGGAGTAGCCAAGTGCATCATGTAGAAGCTGGCTATGATTAAGCACTTCTGAAACTCTTGAGGTTAACAGCCCCCACTGCCAGTGCTGTCCATGGGATAGCAATGGAAGACCGATACCTCTGAAGGTATCTAGAGATAAAAGTACACTGCTGATCTAGATTCTGGAGGTCAAACACTTTGACTGCTCTCAGCAGTTTAAAGCAAGAGTATTTCTCCAAATGGAAGAGGCCCAGACCCTGACAGCAGAAATGCAACTGTGGCACAGCTGGCATCTGGCTCCATTTCAACTGAGATGACTTATCCCAGAAAAAAGCATTCCAGATTGAGCTGTGGGCTGCCACTCTGATAATAGCAGCAAACCAGTTCAACACCTACCAGCAGCCCACAGGCCTCCCCCCAGGAGATGACACGTGACTTTTTTTTTTTTTTACTTTGTTGCAGGCATATGCTCAGAGTGAATGGGCATTTGGATTCTGAGGAACACTGAGGTGTGAAGACAAATCTGTATCCTCTCTAGAAGGCTGCTGTCAAAAAAAACCTGTTAGTTCCAGTGTCCTGCTAAAAAACCTCTAGGGGCAGTCAGGGAGTAGTGCTTTGCTTTTCAATTGATTGTTTAAAAAACAATGCTCACTTGCTTTCTTATATAAAGATTTATCTGAAGAAATCTTACAGCTATAAGCCCCTAAATCCTTTATTAGATAAAAAAGGAAAAGTCCATTTTATCTTTGCATGTCATGTTTATTACAGATCCAGAATGGGAATGATTGACAGTTATTTTTCTGTTTAAACAAAGCTGCAGTTAAGTTCTGGCAGCCTTTACTATCTTTGCTTCTCCTTCCTAAATACATTACTTTATATGCAAATGCAACAAAGCAGAAAACTGTCTGTTAAGCCCGTGCAGCTGGGCCTGTGCCAAGGTGAAACCACAGCATGCCAAATTCCGCCTTCAGGTCCCCCCGCCACATAGCTACCAGCACAACAAATGGGCTGATGGGTTTGAGAAACAAAGGTCGCCAATTAGTGCTTCTGCTATACAGAGATCAGGAAATGAAATATGTTTCATCTCAGTACCTTTAAACCCAAGGTCTAATTACAGAGAATATGGGAAGAGTTCTGTAGTAACTGTTTTGTTTTCTGAATTCCCATCTGGTTATATTTTTACCGCCAGAAGCTGACCAGGCAGGCACTAACTCTAGATTATTAACAGGCATTTCAGTGTACAGTTAAGGGCTTGTCTATGCAACAGAGGTGAGCTTACAGCATGGTGAAAGCATACTGTTTGCTAACTTTAGTTAATGTAGCAACAACCACAGAAAGTCTTCAGGACTGGTTCAAGTCCCACGCAAGTGCCATCAGTGTCTCAGCTGGTGTGTCCAGTGCATTATGCCTGCAAGGTCCATGACAGCTAGGGCAGGTATCTACCTGCACAGTGGCCACAGCATTAACTTCAGTCTTCCCACACAATTACGAAAGATTTCACTTTTGAGACAAGCACTTTTATCAGAAACATTTCCTGGCTCTTCCGTTATGTTTTAGGCCACATCAGCAACACCAAACACAGAAAGAGGAATCAAAAGCAGCAGGGATAGAAATACTCATAACATTCACGAGCAGCCAGAGCTATCATAGCGAAACAGGCAACAGAAACTGCAAGCGTTTCCTACCGACTCAGGGTGGTAGTTCGGAACTATGCAGCACCCAGAGGATGATACTGTGACGGTAAATGTCACCTATGTACCAGTTATGCAGTGTCTGATCACAGCATCGCTCAGAGCCTGGAAGGGCCTGTAGGCTAAGCCACATCCCCAGGCTCCGACCCTTTGAGTACAGCCAGTTTTTGCAATACAAGACGACTGGCAGCGTTACAGGAATTTGCAGAGCAGCTTGGCGAGAACAGATCCCAGTGAACCACTAGCTCCTTCCCGCCTAGGCGAAACTTGAGGCAACCGTAGTCAATGCAGTAACAGCAGCTCTTTTTTGTCCGGACTCACACTTCTTACAAATGCTCTGCAATGCCTGGAAACATTATTCCTTTTCCCCCAATTCCTCTTCTCCGAGAAGAAAGGCCATGACCCTGCACCTTTGCAGAGCTCTCTTACAGTTGATCAGTCACTACTGCCTCAGTATAATCTCAGCTCCTTTCCCATCTAACTCTCCCCATATCTAGATATTCCTAAAAGGAGGAAATTTGGCAAAGTATTTTAAAAAAAAAAAGTTTTTCTCTAGGAATTCCCTTTGGCTGTTGGAGGCTTTGTTGGGCTTTTTTCATAATCTATGAAAAGTCTCAAGGGTTTTAGAAAACTGGGCTTGCTCAATGGAGTGTTTTGCACAGCCATGGAAGGACGGTTACCCATTTACAGGTACCAACCCCTAGCCCTGCTTCCTCAAGACCCACTGTGCCATGTTTGCATTGCCCGTCATATTCAGCATGCCTTTTCATCCGCAACTGAGCTTCAGGCACCCCAACGCCCACCTCAGAATCAATCATTCATGATGAAGTGCACTAGGAGAGTTTACCCCAAAACTGGGCCTGGAAAAATTGCCTGTTAAGGGGAAAGGGACCTTATGTTTTTCAGCACTACAAACACCGAGACTGACACGCACCTTTTTAATACCCGCTGGGAGTATTGCTTAGCATCACAATACCCCCACAAAGCCTGCCAGAATAACGAGGAGAATCTTTACTAAGGCCAAATTAAAGCTGTAGGCTGCTGCCTATCTGTCACACACAGGTGCTGATGTGGAAGAATGATGTATCCACTCCATAAATCCCAGCACAGCTGGCAGCCCTGGCTGCCCAGGAGCCTGCCAAATGGCTTTTGTTTGTTGACACGCACCTTTACCTGAATGAGCTTACGAAGGAGTTTTCATTCAAAAGCTGAAGTCATTTTACATCTGAGTGAGTTGGAGAATGTAGTTGGCTAGCAGAGAGGCAAACGCTTACCGCCATTTCAGTGGCATAAGCTAGAGCCTTGTTAATATTATTTGTTAGGTGGCAATTCTTTTACTGAAGTAGCAGGTGCACAACTGAAAACTCACATATGAGCCCTCAATTATACAACCATAGAGAGAACTAAGCTGGTATAAACATGTTCCTTTGTGCAGGGTGGGAGCCACAAATCACCTTTATGCCAGCAACACAGAGGGACTCTGACTGCACCAACTTAATCGGAGCAGCACAGCTGTTTGTCATTTAAAAGCCCCAGTATTTTGTCTTGCAGTGACAGTTAAGATTCATACAGCTGCTCCTCTGAAGGGAATCACAATAGCCTAAGCTAGCACTGCAACTTAACAAGTTGCATGTGTTTCACTTCGCTTCTGTACTGCCACATACAGTTACAGGAGCACAGAGCAAGATAAATGCAAGATAGTTGAGCAAAGCAGCTGAACGCAAGCGGGCAAGGCAGCGTCCTCGACTCAGGGAGCAGAAGTGAGGTGCCAGCTGAGCCAGGTCTGCAGCAGAGCACCTGGCTTTCAGAAGTCGCCAGTGAAGCCCATTGTGCATCAGTCTGAAAATTTCAGCTTCATGGGGTTTTTCAGACTAGAAACTACTCTGAAAACAAACAGGCAAACAAACTTAAGATAGGGCTTAAGATAGGGAAGTCAACTGTCCTTCCTGAAGGTAATGTCAGAGAAGCCAGCCTTTTAGAGAGCTTCGCAAAGTTATATGAGCTCAAAAGCAAGAAACCAATATATAACTTCAGGTTTTAGAAGAACATTTCTGCCATAGGAGCAGAAACTTGACAGATCAGCAGAACATGGAAACAGGAAGTCTGGGTTTAATTCACATTTTGATTTTGGATGCTATTTGTTCCTGATCCCATGTCCCTTCCTGCAAAGCAACATCTACCTATTTCACAAGGGTACCATGGCACCTACCTAAATAATGCCTGTAAAGCAGCGTGACTGCTCTTAGCTTTAGCGGCTGTACTGACAGAGGTAGAGCTAGAAGTCAGGAGAGCCTTGCTGCTACTACTTCAGAGCATCCCAAGATGGAAGAAGAAGCTCAATTACACAGCTCCTTCATGGAAAGCAAACACCAGCTATAGCTATGAAAAAATTAAAGCCTCCTAGATTTTAATCACATTTCAATTCACCTCAACAGAAATCAGTATCATTTATACACTTGGGCATTGCATTGACACAGTTTCTACATTATAATAAAAATACTTTACCAGTAAAAAGCAATTTTGTCCCCCAGTTTCTTCTCATTGACATTTCTATCCAACAGGTTGTAGCAGATGTTGGTCGTCGCCCCTTTCATCCATTCAACGAAGATCTTCCCCTTTGTCACGTCAAAGTTGTACTTCAGAAACAGCCCAGAGGGCTGGGTCTTCCAGTAAAACTCCTTAGCGACATCACCCCAGAACTCTGCAAAGAGCAACGATCACACCTTAGGACCCAGGGTAAAGGAATAAGGAAATAACAATCATAAATAGAACATCACTTTGTACGTTAAACAATTCACTGGGCGGACCCAGAGAGGAAGCGAGGGCAGCTGGCAGCGGGGCTACCGCTGCGGCCAGGCGCCGAGGGCAGC